AGCCCGCGCTCCCCTGGGGCCGCGCTCGGCCGGTGCCCGCCCGACCGTGCCGTGGCCAGCGCCCCCTGCGCCTGCCCAGCCCTCAGCGCCTCTTCCCGACCTATGGCCACCGCGGACCTTCACCTAGCCGGGGCCCTCGGGCTGTGCCGGGACGCCTCCCCGCTCCTGGCCATCGGTACCGCCGGCCGGGCGGCGTGGGAAGCTGGTGTTGGGGGGACGGTGCGAGGACATCCCGCAGTGGGACTCGGCCGAGCGCGTCATCGCCTGACCCTAAGGAGCTGCCTGTGCCGCGCTGGGTGGCGGCTGCCCGCCCCAGGCCCACCTTACGCTGAAGGGAGATGATGCCCTCCTTGTCCACGTCCCCCATGCGCTGAAGGGCCTCCTGGAGGGGGACGTCAGCTGCCAGGCCCTGCCCAGCAGGAACCCCCGAGTCAAGTACTCCCACCCACCCTACGCTGCGGCTGGCAGCTCCCCCGCCGTGCGGGCCCAATTCTTCCCCGTGGACGCGTCTTTGTGGGCCTGAGCCCCTCGTCAGCTTTAAGACCTTTGGGATCCGCTGCGGGGCACCTGCTGTGCACCGCCCCAGCCCCCTGCAGATGCGGACTGCGTGGGCCCTCGCGACTGCCCGGGGCTCATGTGCCCCCAGACCCCAGCACTGAGGGGGGGTGGGCAGCAGCCCAGGAACGACTCGGTGTTGACTTTCTATCACGGGAGGAACCCTGGGCACCGATCCTCCAGGAAATGCCCACCGCCATTTCTGTAGCCGGTCCTCCTGCACGCCCCAGTTAAGACGCCCAGATGTGCCCATGGGTTGAATGGGAGCCAAGGCACGGCCACGCCGCCGGGATCCGCAGGGAGACCGCACGGGCGCTGCGTCTGGGCAGCAGGGGATGATGCACCGGCCCCAAAAGACACACACATTTTTTAAACGGAAAAAAAATTCTCTTGGATACAACAGAGAAACTCCAAGGACACAGGAAAGCACAGGTGAGGCACTGTCAGAGTAAGTCCTGTTGGGAGCACCAGGCGCGGATTCATCCGGCCCGCCGGCTCCACTCCCTGGCCGGGGCTGTCACACACGCGGAGAACCCAGGGAGCAGACGCGCTCCCCGCCCTCAAGCTCCATCCCCGCGAGGGAGCAAATACGAAGTCCTACCTCGGTGTCTGAGTAAGACTGAAAACTTGAGTTAAACAGCTACTGAACCTTACAGTGTGACAAACAGAGGGCCCTCGTGGTGGCCCAGGTTGGTGAAAGGGTTTGGGTGTGAGGTAATCAGGCAGGGAGAGCGCCGCGTTGATCAACCAACCTCAGGAAGGCGGAGGCAGGGAAAGGGCCTGGCCCAGGCGCTCAGGCGGGCAAGGTCTGGCGCGATTGGCCACACAGCAGCTGCTGCCTCTCCTCTGCAGAGATGGTCGTGCTGTGCTGGGCGCTGGAGTCTGGCCCTCCTTTCCCACCGTGGGCCAGGGCAGCGGCTCCGGCATTCAGTCCTCTCGCAGGTAGGCCTCATGCTCCTGCTCGGCCCTCTCATCCTCGCCCTCCTGCACCTTCTGGCGCATCTCCTGCGTCTGTGCTTCGGCAAGCTTGGCTTCTGCTTTCTGGCAGAGCTGGCGCACCTCCTGCACCTGTGACTTCACCAGCTGAATGTGATTCCTGGCGGTGACCGAGGCCTGGTCTGCTCCTGCCAGAAGACGGGACAATGGCACTAAGCAGCCAGCAGGGCAGAAGGTACACATACACACAGGAGAGCCTGGAGTCCTGGGGTCACCTTCCTTTCCTCCACAGAGCAGACAGCCTGCTGCTGCCTGCATCCAGCTCTAGATCTACGTACCAAACCTTGGGATTTCTCTTCAGCTAAAGGAGCTAATTTTTTTGGGGGGAGGGGGTGGTCTTTTTGAGACAGGGTCTCAGTATGCAGTTCAGGCTGGCCTTGAGCTCACTTTGTAGCCCAGGCTGGTCTCAAACTTGCAATGATTCTCCTGCCTCAGCCTCCCGAGTGCTGGGATTACAGGCATGTGCCACTATGCCCGATGGAGCTAATGTATTTATGAAATGCAACTTCTACAATCATCTTTATAGCTACACAGCTCTAGGTACCAAGCTTTTATGAATTTAAGTATAAGTTATGTTTCTTTTTGACAAATTAAGGGATCATGAATAAAATTTTCAAAGAGCTACCTAATATTCAGAGATAACTGCTTTTGGAAATTTAGAGAGCATATTTCTCCCTTTTAAATGTACCTATAAGCTGGGCGTGGTGGTGCATGCCTGTAATCCCAGCACTCAGGAGGCTGAGGCAGGAGGATCACTGTGAATTCAAGGCCAGCCTGGGCTACATAGTGAGTTCCAGGCCAGCCTGAACTGCATAGTGAAACCCTGTCTCAACCAAACAAAACAACAAAAGAAAGTACCTGAATACATATACAATGCATAGAAAAACATTACTGTAAACCAGTGATGGCAAACCTTGTAGAACTTTCAATAACAGCCCACTGTAGCATGTGGGCCACAGGTTTGCCATCACTGCTGTGAACATATAATGGCATAAAAGGCACACAGTATGTTGAACATAGTTTATAATTTTGTTTTTTTCACTGACTAATGTGTTTTGAGCTCCATCATTCTCCTTGCTAGGGGGCACTTCACATACATATGCATATTTTATACAGTGTAGGAAGTGGTGGAGAATGGGAGGCCCAATTTTTGTATTTCTTACCTTGATAAAAGTACTTCTGATATTTCATTGTTAAGTACAATTATCTATCCTTTATCATCATAAGAAAATTGTTTTTTTGCAAGTGTACTTAAATTTAATTCATAAATGGATACTATATTTTACTGAATGCATCTTGGCATATATTGATTATATTTTTCTCTTTTAATTACTATAAATTATCTCAAGTTGTGAATCATGTTGACAGATTTTTCCCTTGGAGAACTACTGCTGTATTTAAGGGTGGAAGACTCCACTGGATTCACATCTACATTTAGAGGTGATACTGAAGCACAGCTCTTGTTTCAACACTGCCCTAGCCCAGCCTGGCATCTGTGCTATGCTGGCTTCAGTGACTCGGCTTGCTGCCACTCTCTGCACACTGGTATGCTTTCTGTGATACAGGAATTACTACTATTTTTTGTCGTCCTGGGGGTTGAGCCCAAGCCTTCACACTGAACTACATCCCAGGCCTTTTTTTTCGATTTTCTTTTTGAGACAGACTCTCCCCAAGTCACTAAGTTGTCCAGGCTGAGCTCAAATTTTTGCTCCTCCTGCCTCTGTCTCCTGAGTGCTGATGTTACAGGTGTGCACACTGCGCCCGGTGAGCCTGTGGTGTCTTTATTTACTTGATGCCACTGGGGACTGAAACCATGGCCTTCACTCCTTTTGAGACAGAGTCTTGTGCAAAGTTGCCCAGGGTGGGTTCGAACTTGTGCCTCAGCTGTCAAGAGTGCTAGGACTACAGGAGTCAGTCACCACTGCAGCCTAACTGGTGGTTTTTAAGAAGCATGTTTCTAATTTTTAAATTTTGCAGTGCTGTGAATCAAACCATAAGTACAGGACCTTATGCATGCTAGACAAGCACTCTATCAGTGCACTCTATCTTCAGCCCAAGAAGCGTGTTCTTAAGTTTTATAGTATAAGGAATTTTTTTTTTGGTGGTAGGCTGAGGTTGTCTTTCAACTGATACAAATCAGTTTTTGTACATGTTTTGTGTCTGAGTATGTGTTTCTTGTGGGAAGGGGGCAAAGTTTTATGTTTGGTTAAGCTTTTAAAAACTACTCTAGCCAGGGATACAGCTCAGCGGCATAGCACCTGTCTAGCAAGCAAGAGGTCGTGAGCTCGATTCCCATAACAACAACAAAAAAAACCCAAACAAGCAAAAAAATAAAACTGTTCTAGAAAAAAAAAAAAACAAAAAACCACTATTCTAGGCCAGAAATATTCAAGTTCCAGTACTGAAAAAAAAAAAAAGTCTTTCCTAAAACTATTCCAGTCTTGAACAGCTTTAGTTTTTTGGCCTTACTGATCTGTGAGTCCCTGAAATATGTATAAAACCTAATTTCTACTTGTAATTCCATCAGTTTTGCCTTATTAGGCACACGCTCATGATTGATGCCGTTACTTGTTCTTTGTCCCATTTATTGCTTTTGCCTTCTTTTTCTGATTTCTGATGTTGCTGTTAATCCTTTTATGAGAGCTTTCTTTTTCGCTAATTCCTCAGTTTATCTTTCTATAATTTTTCACCTTTTTTCCCACTGTGTTTTCTCCCAGCACTCTGGGAGGCAGGAGGATCACAAGTCCGAGACCCTGTCTCAAAATAACAAATAGAAAGGGATGGAGATGGAGCTCAGTGTGAAGACTCTGGGTTGAATCCTCAGTAGTGCCAAAAAATAAGTAAAACAAATTGGTATTCATCCAGTGGATGGACAGTGATATTCAAAAAACACTTTAGTAAAAAAATTGCAAAGCTGGGCGTGGTAGTGCACACCTGTAATCCCAGCACTCAGGAGGCTGAGGCAGGAGGACTGTCATGAGGTAAAGGCCAGCCCGGGTTACATAATGAGTTCAAGGTGAGCCTGAACTACGTAGTGAGACCCTGTATCAAACCAAATTAAACAAAAATAACCAAAAAACACTGCATTTTTTACGTTGGGGCAGTTTAGGTCACTGAGGTAATAGAGAACAAACCCCTAGCTACCAGACACAAAGGCCTTAGAATCTGACCCTACCCAGCTGCACCTCAGTTTGGCCGCTTAATTATACCGTGGCAGGTTAGGTGTCACCTAGTCCTTTTGGTTCTAAGTGGGAATGGAACAACAGTTTCTACTTTAAGGGAACTGTAGGCATTAAAAATCCCTATGAAATGCTTACCACAAAGCCTGAAATAGACAAATGCTCAATGATTTGTATTGATTTTGGCACTATGATTCCAAGTCTTATTTCTTCTATTTGTACAAAAAGGCTCATACAAATGGATGAGCTAAAGTCTCATCCACTGAGTCATTCTATGACTATTAATAAATTGTCTAGGTTGTTGCCACGTGTGGTGGTGCACGCCTGTAATCCCAGCACTTGGGAGGCTGAGGCAGGAGGAGCACAGACCAGCCTGGGCTACAAAGTGAGCTCAAGGCCAACCTGAACGGCATAGTGAGACCGTCTCAAAAAGGCAAAAAATAAAAATAAAACATAGATTATGAAAAAATGCTTAAACTGGAAACATTTTCCAATGGCAACAGTTTTACAATTTATTATTTTCCTTTTTCTAGACCTTGACAGCCTACCTTCTACTGGTCTGATCTACAAAGATGTGCATTTTTTCCTACTGTGCAAATAAAATGTTGCTTAATTTCCAATAAAGTTAGTCATACTGGGTGTTATCAATTAGTCTAAACTCATTTTACAGCTAAATAGAAAGTCAAACAGCATCTCCCTTATAGAAAACAAAAAAAAAAAACAAAAACAAAAAAATCCCTCTAACCTACCAGTTTGGTAGGCAGCTTCTGCAGCCATTTCTGAAAGACTAACTGCGGTCATCCAAGTGGTTTCCAGCTTCAGGTACTCTTGCTGTTTGGAAGTCATCTGTAAACTCGGACGACAGGAAGAGGTTTAAGAGTTAATTAAGCGGACTAACTTGAGCAGTTACCGACTAGACCCCTCAATTTGTGCGCAGGGGGATGAACAAAGAGACGCCTAACAGTGCTTTGCTTTACCTCAACTCGGGCTCCTATGATCACTTGCCACACTTCATCTTCCTCCTGTGAATTCATTTTCCCAAGTAAATTTGTATACTGTCGGTACAGAGAAATTAATGTATAAACAGCCTACAAAGACAGAACGAGCAAAATAAGCAAGGCAGATTAGAAGGGTTACTGACATTTACATCTCAAAAGATGTCAAGGTCCTTTACAGCAAAATGGCTCTCCAGTCCTTGTGCCGCACTGAAACTGTGCTATTGTATGAAGAGGAGGCACCATTCCAGGACATTAGTGTATCTACCTGTAAATCTGACTTTTCTGAGTCAGTATCTCATTATAATGTCCAGGGCGGCTGGGAATTTGTGATCCTCCCGCCTTAGTCTCCCAAGTAGCCGGGATTACAGGTGTATACCACCACACCTGCTTAGTAACAGACATGTTGCTCAGACTGGTCTCAAAACTCCTGGGGCTCAACTGATCCACCTGCCTCAGCCTCCCAAGTAGCTAGAACTATTGACACTAAAAGCTTTTGAGTAATTTTTATTACTTTTATTTTATTTTTTACTTTTATTTCAAATTAATGGTTTTCAAACAATTCTCACAGGGAAACCTCTGGGAGTGGACTTTGGACTTTTTTATCCCTTATCGAAGGCAGATCAGCTTGGCTTCTATTTTACGTACTGGGCTACTATATTTAAGATTTTTCTGTAAGACAAAAAAAAGGGTTCCTAGAATAAGTACAAAAAACAGTGATTTAGATCATGGCTCAGCCACTGTTTTGTAAAGGATCAGACAGAAAACGTTTTGGGATTGTAAACCTCACTCTGCTGAAACCTCAAACTCTTCAAATCAGTCACAGACAAGAAATGAGCCTGGCTAACCTGCAATGAATTGCAAATGTAGCCAGGCCTGGTGGTACATGTCTGTAATCACACACGTGGGAGGCTGAAGCAGGAGGACTGCCTCCAGTTTGTCAGCCTGGGCTAGCTACATAGTGAGTTCAAGGCCAGCCTAAACTACTGTGTGAGAGCCTGTCTCAATGCTCCCCACAAAATCCCCAAAAGCCAAAAAGTGAATACAACTATCAGGCTGGATCTGGTGATGAGCCATGGTTTGCTAACCACTGGCTTAGAAGATCAAGACTTAAGAAGGGGAGACGTACCTTAGTGTATTCAGTGATTGCTTCAATCAATGCATAGGTGGTTTGAGACAGAAAGGTAGAGGTGCTATCTGTTACCAGAGACACAGCCCTCCTCATCAACGCTTCATTACTAAGAGAGTGAGGCTCCGATTTCTGAAAGACACAAATATCGTCACTCAACTTTCAACCTAAATAAAGCCCCAGCTGCGAATTTCATCGTGGACACTTGAGAAAAAACCTAACCCTCATGCTGGTTTGTGTTTTAAGCTGTAACTGTGCTGTGCTTCTCCAGTGAGCTTCTCAGGCTTTATTTGGGCTACATAGGACAACACAGGGCAAGAACTCCCCAGTATGGCCCCCCTAACTTTCATTATCTGCCCCAGAGAGCAAAGTGTTTTTGTTTAGTTTTACAGCATTAGGCGTTGAACTCAAGGCTGCGGGTGTGCTAGGCAAGCATTCTACCACGAAGCTACATCCGTATGCCTTTTTGAGTTGAGGTCCTGCTAAGTCGCTCAGGTAGCACTTAGAACAGTTCCTTAAAAACCTTTTTTACAGATGAAGTGAAAGTCATAGTAGTTATGTAATTTTCCTAAAATGTCACAATTTTGCCCTCAAATCGAATCTTGTCCTTTCAAAGTCTGGACCCTTTCCTTTATGCCGTGCTGACTCACAAAAGTGCCAAGAGAATTATCATCAAACATCAAAATACATGATAAATGGTCAAAAGGAGAGAGATCACTATTGGCTGGGAACTACAAAAGGTTTTAAAGATGAGGTGGGGCTTGGCACTGGAGACAGCTAGAATTAGGATGATCTGGAATCCTAAGAAAGAAGAAATGATGAGGAAAAGAATACATTTGCAGCATGTAAGCAATGTCCAGGAATCTAACCTCGTTGGCATTAGCTAGGACACGAGTGCAGGAAGCATTAGGTTTTAGTTCTTTTTTTTTTTTGTCTTTTTGAGACAGGGTCTCACTATGCAGTTCAGGCTGGCCTTGAGCACACTTTGTAGCCCAGGCTGGTCTTGAACCTGCAACTATTGTCCTGCCTCAGCCTCTCGAGTGCTGGGATCACAGGTGTGCGCCACCATACCTGGTTTCTCTCTCTCTCTTAAAATTCTGAGGGTCTTGCTAATTGTCCTGGACAGGCTCAAACTTTCCATCCTGCCTCAGTCCCCCAGAGTGCTGGGATCACAGGCGTGCACCACCATGCCCAGATTAGGTTTTAGTTCTGTCACACACAATGAGAGGGAACAGGGGTTCTGAAGAACAGAAGTGGGACCACTGTACTGTAGGGGAGTGACTGCTGCTCTTGTCACATGGCCCAGAACTGAGGGAACTGGGGCTTAGAAAACAGTACAGTATATGAACTGAGAAAGGACAAGCCCCAGAGTCCTTGGAAGGATAAGAGATTCATCTTACTAGTGGGAAAAAATGGCCTGGTGTTCATGTGAGGATTTTCCGGCTAAAAGATCACCAGCACACAAAGCTGAAAGCTGAAATGAATACAGCACGTTGAGCGCTTATGAGTGCGCCTCAGAAGATGCAGAAAATACCAACAATCAACGGAATCAATCTTGTGATAAACACAAAGGTATCAGGAGTATCTGATGAAATAAAGCTTGCTAGTTTCCGCCTAGCTCTTCCTCATGAAGCATACAGCCAGTGATTCTTAAAATCAGGTGCTACTTTGACATTAACTGCCTCCTTGACAAACCCACCTAGATGTCTATGGAACATCTCAGACATTTCCCAAATGGAAAGATTTCTTCCTTTCAAAACTCACTCTTCTATATCCTAGTATATGTCAACCCCATTCTTTCAGTTCATTAGGCCTTTAAAAAATCTTGAAATCTAGGTTATCCATGTCCAGTCCATCAACACCTCCATCGGCCACATTCAGCCAACTTCCCCACCTCCTCTGCTGCCTGCCTAGTCCAAGCCCCTCATGCCAGGATTATCACGAGCCTATTCGTCCTCCCAGAGCCAAACCACCACCATGTAAAAACATATGTCAGATCATAAAAGTTCTGAGTTAAAATCTGCTGTGGCTTTCATTTTCAGAATAATACCCTGAGCCTTACAATGGCCCACAAAGCACCCAATTTGATCCTCAATTAATAGGCCCTGCCTGTGATGGCCTCCCGGACTCATTCCTGTGACATTCTCATCCTGCTGCTCCTCAGACAATAAGTGCTGTACTACAGCTAGCTTCTCGCATTTAAAAAGTGCTTCTGTCTGGTAGGCTGGTTTCCCTCACCAGACATTTTTAGGGTGCACTCTCAGACGATTCAACTCTCTAATCCTTTACCTTATTGGAGTAGCTTTTCTTGACCTACCCTTAAGTAAAACAAAATGACCCTCTCTCAGGACTCCCTATTTGCTATTTGTTTTTGTCACAGGTTATCACCAGCTGACATTTCACAGGTTCTTCCTCTTCTTTCATCTTTCCCCAATGTTTCATGGTGGCAAGAAGTTTCTGCTCGCTCTCTGTTGTCTCTTTTTCTTGAGACAGGGTCTCGCTATGCAGTTCAGGCTGGCCTTGAACTCACTTTGTAGCCCAGGCTGGCCTCGAACTCGCAGCGGTTTGCTCGCTCCGACCGCAGTCCCAGTATCTGACACATAAAAGTTGTTCAATTAAGTTTCTGCTGAATGAAAGACTACTTTGTTGACGCACTACAACACTCCCCCGTTCCACTCTACTCTTCATACAACTGAGGCTTCTACAAAACGAGACGTCAGAGCGGGAGGACGAGGACGTCCGCCGAACTCTGAGATGAGGCTGTGCGGAAGCACCACAGCGGGGGACCCGCAGCTTCTCGCCGGGCCAGGCAACCCCGAGCCGCGGGACAGCAGTCACCTGCGCGATAGGCACTGCGCACAGGGCCACGCCGAAGCCGGCCACCGCGGTTCCGCGCCATGGTCTCAGCAGTTCCGACAAGCAGCGCCTTCTGGAGCCAGCCGCGGCAGGAACACACCGTCTGAGCCTAGAAGCGGGAGTGGAACTGAGTAACAAAGGCACAAACGTCGGGCTGTACAAGACTCGCTTGTATTTGCAGGGGTTGGAATCTCAAGTCGGGGCCGGCAGAAAACCGGATGAGGACCCGGGGCGGCTCCCGACGACCGAAGGCGGGCACACGGCGCCGGCGCCGCGAGCTTCCCCCCGCCGGGGTTCGCGGTGCCGCCCGCGCTGCTCGGGAACCCGACGCCGGGGCCCGGCGCGCGCCCGGCCGGCCCGGGCCTCGGAGGGTCCCTGCTGGAGAAGGCCAGGAGCCGCCGTCGGGGGCTGGGGCTCGCCCGCTGGCTCCCTCCCGCGCGCTTCCCGACGCCCAGCCCGCCTCGCCCTCTGTTTCCCGCGGAGCTTCGACCGGGCCAAGGGAGCGGGCCGGAAGCCGAGGGGCTGCGGACCGGCTTCCAGGGCACACAGTAACGACGCCGCCGCCAGCGAGAAGGCACCCAGTGCGACCTACGGGTCGAGGCCGGGCGTCCTCAGACGTCCGAGGCGGGCCACTCAGGGTCGGGCCACAGCGCTCCCAGCATCCCCGGGCTCTCCCTCTTCCCGCCCATTTCCACGGCAGAGCGGTACCTGAACAGGGAAGTCACACCCCGTGACAGCCAAGTTCTCAGAGCCGCCATCCCGCGGCGGGGGCACGTCGGACGCACACGCCGGAAGTGACGCAGCTCCGGAAGCCTCGGGCGGGCGGCCGCCTCCGGCACCTGAGGGGACTCGGGCTCATGGCCACGCCCCCACTCGAGGGGGCGGTTGGGATTGGGCAGACGGGCAGGGTGGGGGCGGGGCTCAGGGTAACGGCCAAAACCGCCGCGGCAGGCGCCCAACCGCCGGAGTTTCTGCGCGGAACGAGAATACGGAGCGGTGTCGCGCATCGCGACGCGGGCTTGGGCCTGGGGTTCGGGTCGGGGCTGTGGCTCGAGGGAGGCCCGGGCACAACGCGGAGAGTTTGTTTTTTAGCTTGGGAAGCGGCTGAAGCGCGGGGCGGGGCGGGGCGGGGCGGGGGCGCTGTCACTTCAGCACTAGGAAGTAGGTGGTCCAGCCGGCCAGCAGCAGCGCCCCGATCAGCACCGTGTAGCTGAGCAGCACGAAGGCCAGCAGCTCCCGCAGCAGCTGCAGCATGTGGATGGCGGGCGAGGCCGGCATCGCCTGGGGAGACGGGGACCGCTTGGGGACACTGACACGGGCGCCGCTGCCTCCCACACCGCCCCAACTCCCAGCGCCGAGGCTGCCCCTTCTTCCGCCGAGGAAGCAGTAGCCTGGGCTGGGGGCCGGCCCTCTTCCGGCCACTCCTGCATTTTTAATGCTGCTAATGGCAGGAGGAGTCGAGCTTCCTCTTCTGGAAAGCTGCGGGCCC